GTGTAATTCGAACAAAGTTTATCGGATGACCTATATTCTTGAAATATGCTACACTGTGTATTGACTGGAAACGAGGGTTGTAGAACAAATTATTGGACATCTGCGTACCGTCAGGAATTCTCTATTATTTAATACGAGTCTTTACATCGACAGCGACTAAACAATAAATGCTAATAACTACTGGCATAAAAAAATATTCATCGAGTATCAAAATTTCATTTGAATATGACGATGAACTGAACGAACAGAAGATGAATAATGAATTATATTGAACGTGGATCGCATTGGTGAACAAACGTCCCTTGCATCTCGCCATGAAACTTAATTTTTCCTTCGCATTCTATTTGACGTTTCTCATTATAGTCGTAGTTCCTCAACTAATACATCTTTCATGTTCCGATTACCAAGACTGCTGAACAGTCAAGGTCGAATTAAAGAAGCAGAAGAGTTTCTCATTTTGGTCTCAGCTCCTAACGAATCATTTTCCACTATCGTTCCGGGTTCGATCAGAATAGTTCGTAATGAAAAACGTGTCTGGTCATTCGATGAACCCGACGGAAAATGAACAGGCATTCCGAGCGGGTCGCCGTTTAGCCCGATGAAAGTTTAATTAAATCGTCGATGAGTCACTACGTGTACTAATCGTTGGTTCCGCGATCTTCGATAACGAAAGAATTTCTGGAACGAACGCGGATTCTCATCGGTGGTCACGGGGCGATTTCCGGTGGCCGACGGTGGTAGCCAGTCGTTGAAATCTGAATAATTGATACGATTACGAAGCTCGGTGGTGGAAAAAATATGGCCACGACGCGGGCAAACGGAAACGCGTCGCGACGGAGGAACGTCTGCGCCGCGGTCGCCCTCGCGGCGATTGGTCCACGTTTGGTACCCCTCTGCCTGTACGGAGGGTTCCCAGCGGATCGACGGGGCCGACAGGTTGCCGCGGGGGTGGGAATGAAAAGAACAGACCGAAGAGGCGACCCTTACGCTCGGGCCACTAACGTCAGTCATCGTTCCGTCGATATACGTGCTGCGCTTCTCGCCGCGGGTTCACGCGCGGAGTTCGATCGCGTGACCACCGCTCGTGGCAAACCGTTAGACGGCTCGGATCGAAAATTCTTCGTGATCTCGAGAAGTCATCGCTGTCCACGTGCTCGCGATTTCAACGACGTCGGTCCGCGCGCGGTAGACGTTCACGTTCTCTCGCAAATAATAATTTCATGCTCGTCGGAATCGAACCCAAGTGACGAGTTTATCCTATCTTCTATTAGGGGTGGATTTTACTTTCGATAAAGGGTAGGACTAACTTCTGACAAGGTGAGTCTCAGACGCTTCTTAAGTTGTGATTCGATTAAAACATTTTTAAATATTCCTTCGCTTTCGAGCGTCTACGAGTCACGTCTTCAAATTGAAATGTGCATCTTTTCCCTCTTCAAGTTTGAAATGGATTTTTAAATACCGATCGTTCGACATCGACGACGTATCTAAACATTTCTATTGAAAATTACGGAGCTTAAGGACAGGGTATAATTCCATTACTAATTGAAAGATTTTTATGACAGACCATAAATTAACTGGTCATCCGATATGCCACAAGGACAAAACCTATAACGCTTCTCTGCCATTGAACTATACCTAAGACACATTCGAGTCAACGACGCGCGGCATTTATACAATTTTGTTCGATACATACGCACATATATATATAAGAATTAGAATAAAAATTGGTACTGGTACGCACCGCACGTGGGCAACCCTAACGACAGTCTTTGGCAGTAGTTGAAAAACTTTGAATGAACCTGCGTCAATGATTTAGTGAGCCAAGACCTTCGGAATATAATCGGCTATAATGACGGATAAATGCTTTCACTTTGACTTTAACCCGGCGCAATGACGAACTCTATCGTTTTATTATCCTAAACGAATCATTCTTCTGATGATTCTTCGACGAATTCTGATCGTTCGTTTCGTCTCAGATGATGAAGTTCAAGCAACAGGGGCTGGTCGCAGACCTGATGCCCAACATAAAACTGATGAAAGCGTTCGGACACTTCATGTTCAATTATTACGAAGACGGTTCCTCCAAGCATATTCACAAAATCTTCTGTATCGTAAGTAGAAGAATTAATTGTACGTCTTCGGTAAAATCCCCCCGACACGATTCCCGAACGGCTGAAATTCGATTGGCAGATACACTTGGTCTTAGTGCTCATGCAGTTCGGATTCTGCGGTATAAATCTGATGCTGGAAGCCGACGACGTCGACGTATTGACTGCTAACACGATCACGTTATTGTTCTTCACGCACAGCGTGGTCAAGTTGATTTATTTCGCGGTCAGGAGCAAACTGTTCTACAGGACCCTCGGCATTTGGAACAACCCGAACAGCCATCCGCTGTTCGCCGAGAGCAACGCGCGTTATCATCAAGTAGCTATCAAGAAGATGAGGATACTTCTAATGGCAGTAATGGGAGCTACGTGTCTCACGGCCATCTCTTGGACCACTCTCACGTTCATCGAGGATCCGGTGAGGACTATCATCGATAAGGAGACCAACGAGACGACCACGATCCAGGTAACTTTATTTATCACACGATACACTCGTACGAAAATACAATCTGCACGAATGCGTATCATCTAATGTATGACGTATCACGAGCTTCTTGCCTGTTTTAAGGATGTATTGGCTGTACAATCAATCCCAAAAGTTTATGCACTTTAGAAACGCATTTTTTAAAAAGAAAGCAGACGTCGGAAGAACATTGCTAATAATAAAC